ATGATAACAGTAATAAAAACAACAATATAAATAATAATAATAATGATGGTGATGATGATAATAACAATAACAACAAGTGTTAATGATAACAATATTGATAATAATGACAATACAAATGTCATAATAATAAGAATAATATAAATAGTTATACTGATGATAAAAAAATAACAAAAACAATAATAATAATAATAATAATAATAATAATAATAATAACAATAATAATAATAATAATGGTAATAGTAAAAATAGCAACAACAATGAAATAATAGTAAAAATAATATGTATAACATTAATAACAATGATAATAACATAATAAAAACAACAATAATAACAATGATAATAACATAATAAAAAACAATAATAACAATAGTAATAATAATAAAAATTATAATGATGATAACAATAATAATAACAACAAAAATAATAATAATAATGATAATATCAATAAATATAATAATGATATTAATAATAATAATAATAATAATAATAATAACAATAATAGCGAAGCCAATAACCCAATGATAATAGTAATTATAATGATAACAATAAAAACAATTATGATTTCCGAAGATAAAATTAACCAAAACAACTACCTTTTGCTCAATGATGCTTTCGTCCACCCCGTGAGAATTTCTCGTGGCCAGCTCGTGGGCATCCCTACACCACGGAGTCTGCGGTTCCACTATCACAGGTACATAATGGTATTCCCTGGCCAGGGTCAAGTAGAACTTCATCTCCCAGTTGCGGACATTTGTGTTGTCGATGATTATGACGTTCATGCCTCTACTTGCCGTGGCTGTGGCCTTGTTCTGACAAGCCTGGTGTGCGTCCTTGAGCTTATCTGGTCGGAATTTGTACCTGGGAAGTTTGAGGTGGTGTAAAGTCTTCATCAGAATCATAAAGTCATAGAATTAGGCATAGAATTAGACAGAGTAATAATATCGTAAGGATGAGCAAGAGACATGGAGAAAAATGTAGGAAGAGAAATCAGTTGAAGAGAAAAAAGGAAAAAAAAAATCCTTGAGCGCAACAAACTAACCTCTATTTGTCATTGGAACAGAAAATAATGCAAATAATATATACTTCCTCAATTTCTAGATTTCTAATGTGGTGTAGAAGCATCCGGATAAGGATGAAAAGGTAGGATGAGGATGAGCAAGAGAAGCAGGTGGAAGATTTGGAGGAGGAGGAGGAGGAGGAGGAGGAGGAGGAGGAGGAGGAGGAAGAGGAGGAGGAGGACAATACGCAAATGGAGGGAAGAGGTAGGAAGCAGTGGAGAGGAGAAGGAGAACAGAAGGAGAAGGAGGAGGAGAAGGAGGAGGAGGATGAGGAGGAGAATAAGGAGGAGGAGAATATGGAGGAGGAGCAAATAAAAGAGAAGTGTAATAAAACAAAAGAAAGGAAAAGGAAAAAGAAACAGAAAATAAAGTCCCATGCATTTAATTCACACTCGAGCAACATTCTTGACACTAATACTAACTTTCCGCTTCTCATGAAGTAAAAATCTGCTGAGCACACGACTGAGTCCTTGTAAACCTCCTGAATAGCTTTGACAATGGTGGATTTGCCTGATCCTGGCAAGCCCTTCATGATAAACATAACCTGCAAAGTGTTGAAATTTGGATATTACACCAGGTTTTCCTGTACCCACAATATTCAAATCAGCTATGAAGATCTCCAAATATACTATATTCTTTATGCAAAGGGAAATGGAGTATAGAATAATAGACGAAAAATAAAATTCAACACATAAAAACAAAAATTCAAATATTCAATTTGTGAAAATGACAATTCTTTAATCTGATGCTATTTAGTAATAACTTTGAAAGTACAATTCAAGTGTCTAAAAAATCACTTTCATACATAATAACATGTATCTGAAGACAATTGCCATTAGTACTAAATGATCTCTATGATTTTTAAAATTAAAAATTATCCCGAATTTTACATAAAAAATATATTCTAGACTAAATAATGTTTCCAATTACCATCCTTCCTTTAAAAACTTGAATTAACCTATTGGATCCAGGTGACAGGAATATCTTGTTATAATAAAAAAAATTGGCAGATAACAGGAAAGACTTGTAATGGAAAAATTTGGCTTAGGACTGGGGTGTAGGGAACATGCCAGGGGATATTGTTGTTGAATGGAGGGTGATAAGGTTGTCTCACTATGAGTGCACAAAAGCTTTTGGAGTGAGACTGACTCAGTGGGTATTTATGAAAGGGCTCTTGCATTATCTCCACTGGTAAATGAGGGTAAAGTGTATCATTTGTGAGTCATGCCTGGGAGAGTGTTGGCTCCATGGAGGACACAATATCCATGTGCAGGAACCTATTCCTACTGACTGTTACTGGTGTCTTACAGAAAACTGAATAATACAAATATATAAAATAGTATATTAAATTTTTGATAAAGGATAACTAATAGACCTTGTAAAATGGGGAAAACACCAAAATGCATCTACAGATAAAGAGCACATAGTATTGTAAGAAGGAG